TCGGCCCACGTCGTGCTGTCTGGCGGCTCCACGCTCTTCAAAGGTACGGCCCCTCGCCAGCACCTGGCCTGCTCCCGGGAGAGCCTCCCCCGTCCTGGCCAGGGCCTGCAGCTGGGGCCACCTGCCACGCCCGGCTATCCCTGCCCCCTCGCCAACAGCCTGGCACCCGGGATCCTGTCCAGCCTGGCGCCTGCCTCACACCTTGGCCAGCAGAGGCAGGGGGCCCTGACCCACTCGGCTCGGTCACCAAGGCAGGGGAATGATTCCTTCTGACCCTTGCGGAGCTGCGCCCGGGCCCTGGAGCGCGGCGCCTGGGAAACTTCCTCCTGCTTTAGCTGTGGGAAGCCCAGAGAGCAGAGTGGCAGGGCCCTGACATTTCTGCCTCTCCAACAGCGATGATCCCCTAGCCCCTGGGGGAAACCGAGGCACGTGCTACCCCAGGCCGAGCCTGCAGCTTTGCCTAGCAGAGGGTTCTCTCACCTCAGCTTGTGCCTGCGACGAGCCATGGGGTGGTTTGGCCGGGTCTGTCCCGGAGCGCCTGGTGAATCACCGGGCTGCTGCTGAGCTCTTGTGGCGCGCTGGGCTGTTGGCAGGGAGGGCGGGTGCCCAGCTGGCTCTTCGGGGCAGGGGGCCCCTCCCAGGCGCACAGCTCATCCCCCAGGAGCTGCCACCTGCCCGCCCCCTGAGTTCCCAGCTGGGAGCCTCATGCTTGGGGCCCAGCTGTGCAGCCCTGGGGGGCAGCAGGAGAGTGTAACACAGGGCGAGGCCCGAGAGCCTGGCTTCGTGCTGGTGCATGGGGAGCCCTATGGAATGGGGTTAACGCCTCTGTTCCCCCTTCAGGGTTTGGGGACCGGCTGCTCAGCGAGGTGAAGAAACTCGCTCCCAAGGACGTCAAAATCAAGGTGAGGTTTGGCAGCCGCCCAGCGCCCCCCAGCCCGGCCCTGCAGCTGCTTCCACTGGGATCTGAACGACCAGTCAGCTGTCCAATAAGCAACTGCTCATCCGAGAGTCCCCCCTCCTTGATCAGAACGAGGGTGCAGGGAGGAGGGCGCTTCAAAGCGGCAGCGCCGCATGGAGCCTGGGGTCACCTGGGGACTCCGCCGCTGACCCTGGGCACCCGCCGCGGGGGCTGCGTGAGCCCCCCACTGGCCCATGCCCCCCCCCGGTGCTTCTGCCTTTGACGTGGGAGAACAGGCCTGGGGCTGTCGCTACGCTTGGAAGGCACCGGCGCCGATCCGCCAACCGCTGGACTGGCCAGTTCATCTAAATGTAACATCCCTATTGGCACCCTGGCACCTCTGCCCTCCGCTGTGGTGTGCGGTGCCTGGTGCCTCCTGCCTGGCCAGTCCGTTACCCGGGCTCCCAATCCCTGCCCGCCTGAACCACGCCCCCTGGGCCTGGGCCACCCCTCCCCCGTGAGCAGCTACCTGGGCTCCAGGGAATCCCCCCGTAGGTGTGGGTGTCCGGCCGGGTGAGGGGGGGGTCCATGGACTGGGTGCTGAGCCCCGTTCAGGGCTCGGGGAGTGCGGTTCCCCTGGGCTGATCCTCTGCTTCCTTCCAGATCTCGGCCCCGCAGGAGCGGCTATACTCCACGTGGATCGGGTGAGTGGCGGGGCCTGGGCCTCTACTCTGGGGGAGGGCAGACCCGAGCCAGGCCTGCTGGGCCCAGGGCAGACTCGCTCTGTTGGAAGGGAGAGGCGGAGCCCTGGGCCTGTCCCTGGCAGGCCTCCAGCCCCTGCTGACTCTGGCTTTCCCCTGCAGTGGCTCCATCCTGGCCTCGCTGGACACCTTCAAGAAGATGTGGGTGTCCAAGAAGGAGTACGAGGAGGACGGGGCGCGGGCCATCCACCGCAAGACGTTCTAGGGCGGGGCCTGCAGGTGCGGCTGGGGCAGGGTGTGTCCTTCCATCGCCACTTTCCAATCCAGGGCTGCCAGTGCCACCCCTCCCCCCAGGCTGTGCCCTCGCTGCATCAGCATCGGGCAGCCCCAGGCAGGTGGGGCAGCCCCCTCAGCTGGCCCTCAGAGCCGCTCGTCTCTGCGCACATGGCCCCGGGCCAGGCCTTGATCCCTGCTGCACCTATGGGGCTGGGCACCTGCTGGCAATGCCACAGCCCCCAAGGGGTCTCCAGCCATCTCCTGCTGCTTTCAGAGCTCCTCCGGCCTGGCCGCCAGCCCAGGGTGTCCCAGCGCACTCAGGGACCATTGGGAGCCTGGCAGGGGCACCTTAGGACAGCCAGCCCATGGGAGCTGGGTTTCAGCCTGAGGGTACACGGGGTTGCCAGTCCCAGGCTGGGTCCTGCCCGGGCACATAGATCTAGCCCCCATGGGATGGCTGCCCTTTGCTCCCCCGGCTCCTGAGCCGCAGGGACTAAGCACCAGGGGCATGAGGTTCTCAGCTCCCCCTGCTCAGGGCTGAGGCCAGGCCCCTTCCAACGGGGCCCTGAGCAGCTGGCTCTGCCCGGCTCCACAGGCCCCTTCCCAGCGTGGTGCCGCTCTGCTCTGGGCACGTTTGTTCAGACTCTTGCCCCCAAGGCCTGCTGGGGGCTACCCTCCCCCAGCCCTGGTGTCACACTCAGCCCAGCTTGCCATCCTGGCTGGAGAAGTGAGCACAGCCTGGGGGCAGGACTGTGGGACGGGCACTTAGCCCAGGGGCAGGGCTGTACCAACCTTGGATTGGAAAGGGGTGAACCCTGAACTTTTTTTAAAAGAACTAAGTGAACTGCCCCAGAGCACGACAAAGGGCCCAGCTCAGCCCCAGCGGCCTGTATCTCGGCTTATCCCTGCTACCTACCTGCTGGGCAGCTGCTGGTGCCCGGGCCGCCTGGGAAGCCCCTGCCCCAGCCTGGCTGAAATGTACAAACTCAACACAGTTGCCTGTATTTTTTTTTTGTAAATCCATTATAGTAATAACTATAAATTAAGCCCCAGAGCACGACAAAGGGCCCAGCTCAGCCCCAGCGGCCTGTATCTCGGCTTATCCCTGCTACCTACCTGCTGGGCAGCTGCTGGTGCCCGGGCCGCCTGGGAAGCCCCTGCCCCAGCCTGGCTGAAATGTACAAACTCAACACAGTTGCCTGTATTTTTTTTTTGTAAATCCATTATAGTAATAACTATAAATTAAGCCCCTTCCCCCCCCCCCCCCGGTGCTCAGTGGGGGCCCTGGGCTCAAGTACTAGGAGCTGAGCTGGCTGAAGGGTTTTGTCCTGGGTGGAGGGTGCTTTGGTTTTGGGGCCACGCTGGGCCTGGCCCAGAGCAGGGACTTACACCCAGTGCTCTACCCAGGGCCTTAACTTCTCCCCCTGCCCAGCACCCTTGGCCTTGGCAGCAGGCCTGGCCCCCCCAGCAATCTGAGGCAGCTCTCAGCCGGCAGCTAGAAAAGGTGCATTAGGTGACCAGGAAGAGCAGCCTGGTCAGCCCAGGAGCAGCCTGTACAAGCGGCCTGGGAAGAGGGGTTGGAGAGCCAGGGCCCTGCTCCCCAAGCCTGCTCAGGCTATGAGGGGCACTGGCCATTGTGTGGGTGTAGGGGGTTGGGGCAGCCTCTCTCCAAGGAAGAGCCACCCCCAATTCCCATCGCCATCTGGCATTAGCACATCTGGCCTAGGGAAACTGAGGCACTCTCATGGGGTTACTGTAGGACAGTAGAACTCAAGGCCCTGCTCCCACTCCCAGCAGGGCCGTGCCCCTACTGATCCCTCCCCTCCGTGTTGCCACAAGGGGGCAGCCTCCTCCAGAGATGCTGAGCCAGGCCCTGCAGCTCCACTGTATTCCCCCCAGCCTTTGCTGGCTGAGCCTAGGGCAGGGCCCTCTAGGGCTACCCCTGCTGCTGCCTGTGGAACCAGCTTCTCTGAAACCCCAGGCTGTGGTGCCAGGCCCAGCCACCGCCCTCACCCCGCCTAGTTCCTGTGCAGCTGGTCCCTGCCTGCCCTGGCCTGTGGGAGCCAGGCCCCCAGCTGCTGCCTTACCAGCCCTGCAGAGGGGCACAGGTGTGTGCTGCCTGCGCCCAGACAGCAACGTGCCTGCATAGAAGGGCTGTGTTCAGCTCCAGGGAGCTGCTGAGGGAAACAGACCAGGGATGTTGTGGGCTCAGGAACCCAGCCCCCGCCTCCCTTTGGTCCCCCCCTCATCCAGCAGCCCCCAAGGGCCTCAGGACCAGCCCACTCCCTCGCCCCAAAGTGCAGAGCACCCAGTCTGCAGGCCTGTCTCCGCTCAGGCAACCCAGGTCCCACACTGCAGCCAGGCCAGGCCCTGCTGGACCAAGCTACACAGAGGGCAGCTGTGGGGTGGGGCCTGGGAGGTGAGAACAGGCTGCAGGTGAAGAGACAATGCCATGCCTGGGGTGAGGGGGAGCAAGCATGGCCAGCAGCTGCCCTGTGGGCCAGAGGGACCTGGGGTCTCCCCTTCCCCTGTAGGAGCTAGTCTGTGGGGTGGAGTATTAACCCTCCCACACTGGGATGCAGTGGGTTGGGCACCCAGCCTGGCACAGGGCTTTGAACACCAGGCCCTTGACAGACCCCTAAGCTCACTTCCTGCTCCCTCTGCCAGCGGACAACAGCACCCTGCCCTCGGCCAAGCTCCCGCTGCAGGGCCCATGCAGGTTCTGCCGGCCCAGGGAAGGGTTGGCATCTCCCTCACGTGGACCAGCCTGAGGCAGGCCCACTGCAGGCCAGTAGAGGGAGCAGGGAGCCCTCCCCCGTGCATGCAGCCTGGACGCTGGCCAAAGGAAGCAGCCCAGACACAGGTAGGGGCAAGGCCTTGAACAGCAACTCTTTATTGAAACCACACACCATTGCAGAGCAGCAGGCAGCAGGGCCTGGGGTCCCAAGGAGCAGAGACAGGAGGGTCAGGGCACCCTCAGTGCAGCAGCTCGTGGGGGACCAGCTTGTAATGGGCCCCACAGGAGGGGCAGCGCTGGGGCTCCCCCTTGTGCAGCCAGAACCAGATCACACAGCTGTTGTCCTCTTCACCTGGGTGGGGAGAGGGGAGGGTTAGTGCGAGGTCTCTGGGGCTGGAGCACAGGACTTGGGGGGGGGGGGGGGGGGGGAGCGCGGCGGGCGGGCGCG